TAATTTACAGCAATATTCCAGGTTCATGAAATTTCAAGGTTTCAATTTCGTTCTTACAGCGAAATATTTAACCCAAGCTCTATCTGAGATAAAACGTCCCCCCTCTCCCACTGCTGAAAAAAGTTGATTGTTTGAATATTGTTATACTTATCAAGCACACAACATTAAATTAATGTTATCGATACTGTTAGCCAACATTTTGGAGTTGGAGTAGATTTTGAATTTGGGCCAAGCGCCGCGGATTGGAAAGGGTAAGAACTGGTGTTAATCCCATGTTATTGTTATTTACGTTTTTAATTATTCTTCGTGATTTTTGAGGTTGCGTTTTATATTTCTACTTTTTATGGTTTTCATCTTTTTTTTCGAAATCTGATAAATTAAAAATATGAATTTGTTTTCTTGTGTTTAGTTCCTGTACAGTTTGATGACCCAGTAACACATTCACCTTCAGCCATTAAATCTTCATACATCATGCTTACTCCGAAACAGGTTAGGACAAACAGGACAGGAATAATAGGACTGGACAAGACTATTAGGACATAACTAGTACTAGAGACATGATTCACTACCTACAAGGACATGACATGGCTAGGATAGGACAATAATAATAAGTACAATGAGTACGACAGGACAAGACACGACAGGACAATACACGACCGGAAAAAACAACCATGACAAGGACAGGCAAAATTGATGAGGACTGAAATTATGGGGACAGGACATTACAGGACATAAAGGAAAGAACTGAAAGGATGAATGGGGAATGACAGGAATGATTACAGGATTACAGGAAATGAATGAAAGGACTGAAAGGACTGAAAGGACTGAAGGGATTGAAAGGACTGAAAGGACGGATGGGGGAATGACTGGAATGATAAGGACTGTACAGAACATTCTCAATCAGTGTTGTCTAATTAATCTAATTTCTAAAATTTCACAATTAATAAAGAATATCAACGAATTTGTAAATATTGGTGTTTTTTTTTTAAAATTAGAATTTTATGAAAGCTAAACGTAGAAAGAAATGCTCAATAAGTTCCATACTTCCAACACTAAAAAGATTTAATTTTGACTGAAATAATTTTGTTATTTTATTAGAAACATTTTTAAAATTTGTTTTTACTATTTCAGAAACCAGAATCCGATAACAGTAACAGTAGTAACAGCAATGGTTGCAGCAGTAATGGTAGTATCAACAATTCGCAGCAAAGCAATAAACCTACTAAACTAGATNATCAATTGTTTTTAGCAGTGCTTAGGATCCATGTAATTTTGATGCGGATCCGGATCCTGGATCCGACCTACATGTTGAATTCTGGCAATTTCCTGTCAATGTCTCTGTACTCTAAATCTGCAATTTATCATTAAAGATAAAGATAAATTTCAAGTAAAAAGTTAAAGTAAATCGGTTATGCCACTTAATACAGTCCATTGGTTTCATTTTGTTCTATAGTTGATGAATAATAAAATATAAATTTGTTCATGCCATTCAATGTACATGTGCATTTTGAACCAAATAAAGATTTAAATAATAAGAATAAAAAATATTATAATAATTTTACCAGTATTGAATATTAGGTACCAGATCCAAAGGTTACTCTATTCAGAAGAGAACAGATACAATTAGGTAAATATATATTAATTATAATTTATTTTAATCTGAAGAGTTAATGAAATATTTACTAGCGAGATAATCATACTTCTTATCAACGTCATAATGGATCAATAATCAGTAATCTAATAGAATGATATAAAGAACAAGATAGTAAGTAAGTAAAGTAAGTAAGATTTATTAGAGATAAATCAAGATCATAATACATATTATAATATGATTAACATTCTCATAGGAATATAATTGAACATCATGTGTTTTATCACAGATTAAGATAAGGTTATATCATAGGAAGTTTAATTTTCTCTGCATATAGGGAATAGCAGATTTTCTGTATTTCTCCGTTCTAGCATAGTTGAACAAGAAGAAGAACAAGATAAACTAGATATCAACTAGAATAAAGATAAAGCCCGGTAGACCGTGTAAGATATAAAATCAAATCTAAGTCCACTAGGAAAATACCCACCCATTGTACTTTTATCAGGGAAAATACCTTTTGTCCCTTATATGTTTGGTCTTCACAATCGGTGGGTATGCAAAAGAGGCAGTTTGGTCGGGTGCTTTGATCTTTACCTGCTAAAGCAAAACCTAACTTAACTAAATCCGGTTTTCCTATCTCTGAAACAGAATTCGTTATATGACTAGAATTGTAATTCTCATTAAAACATTGCATAACATTGGTAGAGATCGGGCTGAAAAACCCTGGATGTTGGCAAGACTCGAAACTCAAACCTACATCTAGGAGCCTTAAGCCATCCCTGCTAATATGATTTGATATAAAACCGAAACTCTGCGAGCAGACAAATCTCTTAAATCGTGTACAGAATATACTTATGAATATCGTGAACAGTTTCTTTAATATTTGTACGTTTAGGGCACAGTAAGATGGGAGGAGCAGGGTCAGGGATGTGGAATATGGGGAATACATGTTATTTAAACTCCACTCTACAGGTAATTTATTCAGTTATTCAGTTATTCAGTTATTCAGTTATTCAGTTATTCAGTTATTCAGTTATTCAGTTATTCAGTTATTCAGTTATTCAGTTATTCAATGAAAAAGTCCCTTAATCTAAAATATTATAGTTTGGGGATTACATGTTATTTAAACTCTACTATTTTATTTTAAAAATCGATTCAGCCGTTTTGACGTTTATTGGATACAAACAGACAGACAAGAAAAGTATATAAAGATATTTTTATTAAAGATTGTATTAAAAAATAATGTTTGAAAATTAGTAGATTAATTGTTAGATTGGTTGATTGATTGATTAAAAATTTGGTTTATTAGGGGATTAATTGATTAAGTGATAAATCTAAACATTAATTAATTGGTTGATTATTGACAAAATGGTCGATACATTTGTAAAATTGGTAAACTGAAGAATCAATCAATTTGCTAATTAATTATTGCGACTTAATTTAAAATAAATCGTCGATAAAACAAATAAAATTTTTAATTTGTGAATGAGGAACGGATACTTGTTGGTATAGTTATTTGGAAAATTGATTTGATTGATTGATTTTATTTATTTTCAGGCTTTATTCCATATTCCTGCTTTTGCAAACTACTTGAGACAGGGTGGTCATGAGTCGGAATGCAATTTATCAGGTATTTGATTGATTGATTTATTCATTAATTCATTCATTCATTTATTTTTATACATGTATTCATTCACTTAACGTTCAATTGAATGATTTAATTTGTTATTATTTTTATTTGTGTTATAATAAGTGTTATAATTAGTGTTATAATTAGTGTTATAACTTGTCTTATAATTTGTGTTATAATTAGTGTTATAATTAGTGTTATTAGTGTTATAATTAGTGTTATAATTAGTGTTATAATTAGTGTTATAATTAGTGTTATAACTTGTCTTATAATTTGTGTTATAACTAGTGTTATAATTTGTCTTATTAGTGTTATAATTAGTGTTATAATTAGTGTTATGATTTGTGTTATAATTAGTGTTATAATTAATGTTATAATTAATGTTATAATTAGTGTTATAATTCGTGTTATAATTATTGTTATAATTTGTGTTAAAATTAGTTTCATAATTATTGTTATAATTAGTGTTATATTTAGTGATATAATTTGTGATATAATTAGCGTTATAATTAGCGTTAAAATCAGTGTTATAATTTGTCTAAAGTAACAACTTAATTAGACAGAACCCCGTTTTCTTCAAAACATTTGCAAATTGTATAAACTGCCTTAGTTTTAAAAACATCAAATTAAAGGAGATCAGGCTGAAAACCCCAGATGTGGGCAAGACTTGAAACTCAAACCTGCATTTATGAGTCTTAAGCCATCCCTGCAAAGTATGATTTGATTTGATTTGATTTGGTGTTAAAACCACTGTTATTTAGGATTTAACCTGTTAATTAGTCTGTTAATTAGTGTTATAATTACTGTTATTAAGGATTTAGTCTGTTAGTTAGTCTGTTAATTAGTGTTATAATTATTGTTATTCAGGATTCAGTAGTTGTACTATCTGTATCTTGACCTCGACTCTGAAGCAAACCCTGCAGGGGGGTAACGTGATGAAACCTACAAAGCTTTATGAGAAATTGAAGTTTATTTGTAAACATCTAGTTCACGGCAGGCAGGAGGATGCTCATGAGTTCCTTAGGTTAGTTTCTTTTATTCATATATTTTATCCTTCATTTGTTTATTTGCTGGTTGTTTGTTTGTTCTATTGTTCGTTTGTTCGTTGTTCTTTTGTTCGTTCGTTTGTTTGTTATGTTTATTCATATATTTATTCACCCTTAATTTATATTTATTCGTTTATTCAGTTATTCATTTATTGAATGAAAAAGTCCCTAAAACTCTTAATATTTAGGTATCTAGTGGAGTCCCTACATCAGTGCTATCTAAATAGCCCGGAGAGTCCCTAAAACTCCTAATATTTAGGTATCTAGTGGAGTCCCTACATCAGTGCTATCTAATAGCCATGGAAAGAACCTAAAACTCTAAATATTTAGGTATCTAGTGGAGTCTTTACAACGGTGCTATCTAATAGCCCGGAGAGTCCCTAAAACTCTTAATATTTAGGTATCTAGTGGAGTCCTTACAACGGTGCTATCTAATAGCCCGGAAAGTACCTAAAACTCTTAATATTTAGGTATTTAGTGGAGTCCTTACAACGGTGCTATCTAATAGCCCGGAAAGTACCTAAAACTATTGATAATTACTCCAAGGAGACAACTCCATTCAATCAGATCTTCGGAGGATATATGAGACAGGTATTCATTTATTCATTTATTCATTTATTCATTTATTGAAAAATATAAATTAGGATTTATATATTCATTAATTCATTCATTTATTGATCTATTTATTCATTTATTCATTTGTTCTTTTATTTATTTATTCAGCATTACATTCATTTGCTGATCCAATTATTCATTCATGTATTCATTTGTTCATTCATTTATTCTTTTGATTATTCATTAATTCATCTATTCTTATATTTATTTATTTATTTATTTATTTATTCATTTATTCATAAAAAAGTGTGATTAAGATATGTATATATATATATTTTAGGAGCTCCATTGTTTGAAGTGTCGTCACGTGTCAATAACATTTCAACACTTTATGGATCTTCTCCTCGATATTAGAAACTCAGGTGGGAGAGTAGTGTGGAATTAAAAGGAGTGACCGGATATGTAAGATAGTTGAACTGAGTATGCAGTGTTGTGGAAAACTTCCTTCGGATTCATTTGAGACATATGAAACTTTTAAAAGATCTGTAAATCCTGAGTTCGAGCGCAAATTCGACGTTCAAAACTCCTACTTTGGGGGTGGATACCTTTTATAAAAAGGGACTGCAGTTCAAAATAGTTCAAATTAGACGTAATTTGATTGATTGATTGATTGATTGATTACCTGATTAATTGATTGATTGACCGCTAAATTGATTGATTGTTAGGATGAATGATTAATTTATTGATTGATTGATTGATTCCAGATAACGTTGACAGCGCGTTGTCTGGATACTTCAAAAAGGAGGTGTTGAGTCAGGAGGATATGTACAAATGTGAGAAATGCAAGCAGAAGGTCCCCGCCTATAAAATATACAAGATGGAACGCCCACCCCTTGTTCTCTGCATTCAACTTAAGAGGTAATGAATGCCCTTGTAAACCTTTATTTTATCAATTTTTTTCTTTCAAAAATACCTTTTTCTTTGGAATACTAGCTTACTTTGTTTTCACTGGATAACGTGATGGCCGTTATTTTAGGTCCAATAATTTTTAATCTATCCGGGGCCGTGATCTGGTTTTAGAACCTTTTTTATGGGTTCTTTCATTTTAAAGGAACTGTCTGTATCACGTGACAATTATACTGCACTGCCATTTGTGGGAGTTCTGGTCACGGACGTACACATAATATTATCAAATATATATATTAAAAATGAAAAATTATTAAATTCAAATAGTAGGAACAAACCGGAATTTGTTAGGCTTCTCTGGGATATCATCGTTTTCAGATTGGTTGCATGTTGGCTGAAAATAATCTGAAACCTACGATTTAAAAAAATATATTTACTAAATATAATTAGTCGTATAAATATGATAAAGTTTTATATCATTTTCTCGAGACAGGAACATCAGAAAGAACTGGGTCTCGATCAACTCCTAAAATGTTTAGGCTTCAGCCTATACTTCATTTTATTTATCCTTAACAGTCCCTTTAAAAGGGAAGTTTTTTATACTTCGCTGTCTCTCACTTTAAAATGTAAATAAAATGTTTTGTTTTAGGTTTAATATGATGGGAGGCAAGAATGGACGACCTGTTACTTTGGCCAAAACTCTTGATGTCTCCAATTATGTCAGGTTGGTTGGTTGGTTGGTTGGTTGGTTGGTTGGTTGGTTGGTTGGTTGGTTGGTTGGGTGGGTGGTTTGATATTAGTCAGTATTCTTTTGTACTTTAAACTGTAATTATATTTATTCTACTAAAACATTCTATAATCTCACTAATGCCAGGCAGTCATTGACCCCGCCAATATATATATATATTAATAAAATTATGATTTATGTTACTTTTGTTACAATATTTACTTTAAATCCAATACAAGAAATGTTTTGAATTTCATACCCTTTCTTCGGCGTATAAACTGTTAGCTCTTGGATTCCATCTCCCTCTATAGTGTCGAGTTTGACGAAACAGAATTTGTATGTTCTTGGCGTATTTCTTGATATAAGTTTTTTTACAAACAATTTTTGTACAAGTGGTCTGCTAGACTGGACTGTAGTCTAGTATCTCTAATAAACCATATATCTAGGTGGTCTGCTAGTACTGGACTGAAGTCTTGTATATCTAATAAACCATATATCTAGGTGGTATGCTAGTACTGGACTGAAGTCTTGTATATCTAATAAACCATATATCTAGGTGGTCTGCTAGTACTGGACTGTAGTCTTGTATATCTTATAAACCATATATCTAGGTGGTCTGCTAGTGCAGGGCTTAAGTTCAGATATCGTCTTGTATCCCTAATAAACCATGTTGGTCCTTCTCCGAACTGTGGACACTACACGGCTATTGGAGAAGCCCCTAACGGATCTTATTATAGGTAATAGATTATTTTTCAATTAAAGAAACTGACGATTCACAATAAAGGAGAAGATATCTTCGTTTTTCTAGATTAAATTGATAAATCCTGACAATTTTCTTTATTGTCTCTGTTGTATAATTGCGCAAGTCACCTTTGACGAGATATCACATTGAAAATGATCAATTTGAAAGAGATAAACATGGATATTGTGAATAAAAATAAAGTCACTAAAATTACGACTATCTCATTTTACATTTGAATAAGGCAGTAAATATGCGAGGGGGCAGTTGAAATACAATATCATGTTGTTCTTTCTTTTTTCAGTTCACATATTTCCACTTTTCCCGTTTTTTATTTTCATATATAGATCAAATTTAATTTAGATTTGATGATTCTTCTGTCAACCCGATTTCAGTTCAGAGTGTTGTAAATACTTCAGGTAAATTTTTCTTTAAAAAAAAGTTTTTAAGCTTCGTTATGATTTTTTGCGCAGAGGGATAATAAGTTTGCCTTTGACAAACATTATTGGCCTTTGATTCCCCCAAAAGAGGGACGTTAAGTTACTTGAAGGCCCTTGAGACTATTAAGTAAAATAACCAAATTCTTTGCGAAGTTTTCGGGGGGAAACTCGTGCATTTTCATCTTAAAANCCCAAAAGAGGGACGTTAAGTTACTTGAAGGCCCTTGAGACTATTAAGTAAAATAACCAAATTCTTTGCGAAGTTTTCGGGGGGAAACTCGTGCATTTTCATCTTAATAGACGATAAAATTGTTTAAATTCGTATATTTTCATCTTAAAAGACGATAAAATTGTTTAAATTCTTGTATTTTCATCTTAAAATAATATAAAATTGTTTAAATTCGTGTATTTTCATCTTAAAAGACGATAAAATTGTTTAAATTCGTGTATTTTCATCTTAAAAGACGATAAAATTGTTTAAATTCGTATATTTTCATCTTATATGACGATAAAATTGTTAAAATTCTTGTATTTTCATCTTAAAAGACGATCAAATTGTTTTAAATTCGTGTATTCACATCTTAAAATAATATCAAATTGTTTCAATTCGTGTAGTTTCATCTTAAATGACGATAAAATTGTTTAAATTCGTGTATTTTCATCTTAAAAGACGATAAAATTGTTTAAATTCGTGTATTTTCATCTTAAAGGACGATAAAATTGTGTACTACTACGGAAATAAAAAGTTTTACTTAACCAAGGGTTCCCTAAACTTACTTGTAAATGTAAATAATTATTAAAAGTATAGATAATTTAAAGGGGGCCGGGAAACAAAAGTGTTTCTCAAACACCTGATTTGTTGGACTGATTTGTTCTAAAAAACCTTTTTTCCCTAAATCGTACCCCTATGCCAGGGGGGCGTTTTGCCTAAATTAGTGTTATAATTACTGTTATTAAGGATTTAGTCTGTTAGTTAGTCTGTTAATTAGTGTTATAATTATTGTTATTCAGGATTCAGTAGTTGTNCCCCTATGCCAGGGGGGTGTTTTGCCTAAAAATGTTAATTTTTTAAAGATGAATATTTTAGCATATGTGATATTCTACGAGATGAGTCAAGAGTGTAGGGATGCATACCTGAACAGATCAACTTCTAAACTAGCTTCAATAGGTAGTACCTAGGATCTATCTATCTATATATCTATCAGGAGTGTAGAGATGCATATCTTAACAGATCAACTTCTAAACTAACTTCAATAGGTAGTACCTAGGATCTATCTATCTATCTATATATCTATCAGGAGTGTAGAGATGTATATCTTAACAGATCAACTTCTTAACTAGCTTCAATAGGTAGTACCTAGGATCTATCTATCTATCTATGTATCTATCAGGAGTTTAGGGGTGCATATCTGAACAGATCAACTTCTTAACTAGCTTCAATAGGTAGGACCTAGGATCTATCTATCTATCTATATATCTATCAGGAGTGTAGAGATGCATATCTGAACAGATCAACTTCTTAACTAGCTTCAATAGGTAGGACCTAGGATCTATCTATCTATCTATATAACTATCAGGAGTGTAGGGATGCATACCTGAACAGATCAAATTGCAAACTAACTTCAATAGGTAGGACCTAGGATATATCTATCTATCTATATAACTATCAGGAGTGTAGGGATACATATTTGAACAGATCAACTTGCAAACTAGCTTCAATAGGTAGGACCTAGGATCTATCTATCTATCTTCTATTGCACTGCACGCTAATGTACATTGTACATAAGGACACTCTCCCCCCCCCCTTAATTTTAACTGTTATAAAGGGATTATGCAAGATTTGTTTTAAAGGGATTAGATACCCTTAATATAAATGAGATTCCACGTTATCCGTATTAATTTTCAATTGTTGTTACTTGCGCGTGTCCACTGCAGGAAAAAAATGAAGGAGTTATCAGAATTAAACACTCAAGCTAGAAAATGATTTTATGTTCCACGTTATTGTTCCTTTTATGTTCCATCCCCAGCTAACTATCTTTAAAATAAAACTTTTAAAATAAGAATCACTGAAAAATTGCATTAACATTCCTAAATATTTGAAAATTCTTTTGATTTATAGAATATTGATACCTTTTTTTAGGTCCTCAGCTACCCCACTCGTCTACAAACAGCAAGGTAAATTTTTTCGTCATTTGTGCCAAGATATTTTCAAAAATATTGATAGTACAAATTTGACCATATAGCTTTTTGCATTGTTTCCTTTAAGACTATTTAACTAGGTTTTATCCTCTAAACCTACCAACCACCAGCCTCTAGTTCAAGCAGTTCAACCTCAAGTCAAGCCTCGACTTATCTCAGACATGGTCAAACCCAAGCTTATCGTAGAGCCTTCGCCCAATAAGCCGAAATTAATACAAGAATCGACAGCTGTCAAGCCGAAACCGAATACAGAAAGCCCCAAGTTAGCGAATGAAAATAAACTCGGAGTGGTTCTGAAACAGTCTTCAACCAAGGTTTTACTTTACTTTTTGTCTAAAAAATACATTTTTTTTAAGTTTAAAAACGACTTAAAACTAGTGTTCTATTTTTTAGTCTAGTCTAACCGGTCTTGTTCCTTATGATGGAGATGATTCCAGCTCGGAGGAGGAATCCGCCAATGTTAAACTAGAGAACGCGGGAAAATCCTTGAATGGAGAAAAGGCGGGAATTGTTGGATCAGCTGCTGGGTCCCTCGCCAACCGGAGCAGTACTGGTAGCGGGATTCTATTCGGATCCAGCTCATTCTTACCTAGAGCTGTAGCACAACAGATTAAACGGAACAAAGGTAGATTTATAACAAAATCTTTGTTTTATCTTAGACGTTGTATTGTCATCATGGCATTCAAATAAAACTCATAAAATCATAAATTGCCTTGAAGGCACCCAGGGGTTTATATTTTTACGACCCCTCCCCCCACCCACCCACCTGGGGATGAGAAATGATTTTTGATGATCTTATCAGCTAATAAAACCCTTAAAAAATATAAATAAATAAATAAAACATACTTAACTTCAGGGGGTAAAATTATTTTCACTAGGGGGAGGGGGTGAATTTTGAAAAAAAAAATACATGCCCTTGATTGTATTGTAATAAAATGGATTTAGGTAAAACTATTTTTCTACTTTAGATCCTGAATCTGTCCCTTCTTCACCTTCTGTACAGAATAAGGTGATTTTTTAATGATTACTCATTTACTTAGGTGTTAAGAAAATAGATTTTTTGTATTTTTATATTTTTATTATGGCAACCATGAATTTTAAACTTTGAAACTTTCATGTTAACAATTCAGAAAAAAAAACTGCGATAACATATTTCTTAAGCGCTCCCCCAAACTCCCATCCCCCCCCCCAAAAAAAAAAAAAAAAAAATTTGATGCTAAAGAAAATGCAAATGAAAATAGTGTTCTGTTCTAAGGCCTGAGTTTTCTAGGGGTTGAGTTTATATGATGAGAAAGATTTAAACCCTGGAAGTAAGCTACAGTCCGACCGGCCATCTAGCGGCCAGATACCGGCCAGCGGTCATGTACCGGTCACTGTGAAACGGTCAGATAGCATTGACGCTACAAGTAGTCAGGTAGATTATTGTCTCAAGAAAATTGAATCATCCATTCGTTGGCATCAATAATTGACCTCAATAGGAAAATATTTCTCAAAGTTTTTATTCTTGGTTTAGATTCTTGATTGATATGTGACGATAATGATTGGTTAATTGTTTGAAAGGTTGATTGATGATAATTGATGAAGTATTGGGTGATTGATTGATTGACTGATTGATTGATTGATTTGTGGATTATTGATTTGTGGATGATTGATTGATTGATTGATTTGTCTAGGAACGTCTAGGTATAACTGTTCTTGACAAGGAATCCCATAATCCTTCAATACACAGCGATAATTCATCAGGGTCAACTCATAGTTTTACAGTTACAGGTAGCACATTCATTCTTTCATCTCTTCTTCCTTTCATCCCTTCATCCTTTAATCCTGTCATCCTTTCATCTTTTCATCCTTTCATCCTTTCGTTATTCATCCTTTCATCCATTCATCTTTTCGTTATACATCCTTTCGTCCATTCATCTTTACGTTATTCATCCTTTCTTTCTTCATTTATTCATTATTTCAGTAATCCTGTTCATTCATCCTTTCATTCATCCTTTTATTCAATCATTCTTTCATTCATTCTTTCATTCGTTCATTCGTGCAACCTCTTAATAGTCATTAATTTTAAAAATCTACTATTTTTATTTTAAAAATATTATTTTTTAAGATATAAGATCCCCTACTCCCACCACTAGCGGTAGCGGAACCGCCAGATCATCATCATCTAGCGGAACTCCGCGTTCCTCTTCCTCTAGCGGAGTCCAGCGGAACGGATGGACTGTTACACCGCAGACTAAGCGGGAGCATTCTGTTCCTACATCCAGTGCCAGGGATACAGGTAAGGGAGAATTAATGGGAGAATGTTCACGGGTTTTCAGCGACTGTTGGCAGTTTTAACGGGACCGTACGTAATTTCAAATTACCCTCCATTCGTAGAATGCTTTAAACGATTCTTAGGTCCTTATTTTCCGAACTGCGCTAAAGTATCGTCGTCTTCACAATGTTAAACAATCAATCAATGATGCAGGTCTGGAAACCGGCGGCCACGCCTCCCCGTCCAAGAAGGTTAAGCTCGAGCTAGAGAAGGAGAAGATGAACAGGAAAAGTGTTCTCGATGACATGAAACTGAAAACTACGGAAACTCTTCGGTAAGTCCTACTTTTATTCATTTAAGAAGCTGAAAAACCCGGCGTTACCAATAAAAAAAAAAAATTAAATTTTTTTTTCTTTGTTACCCCCAGGCTACTTATGAGTGTTCACAAAAAAAATTCAGCCCATTCGTTCTAGCTGCTTGGCCGGCTATAGGGAACAAATATACTAATGTCTTGTTTTATTATATAGATTATCCCAATAGCATTTGTTTTGGAATTTAACCTCCGGTCCACTACTGGAGTCTTAGCCATCCCTAGAACCTGTGATTTAATGAATTCAATCGATTTTTGTTATTCTTTAGCCTATACCTAACAGACTTGGCCAGGCCGGGTATTTATTTCCTTTAAAAATCATTTTTGTCTAGATGATTGGCTTGCTTTTGTACAGCCGAGTTGGGAAAATTATTTAGTTTTAAGTTAAAGATATCAGAAATAATGAAAAAAACTTAAGTTTGGTTTTGAAATTTTCCCTAGAGCATAAAAAAATATTGGATAATGTTCTATACATAAATGCCACTAATGAACATTTATTTTGTATATACCGTTAAAATACGGTATACTATAATGAATCTCCGTTCATGTCAAAATCCGACAAGTTTAAGATCTGAAACTGTAACCTATACCTAGAATTAAGGTTAGTCTTATTGCTTTCTTCTTAAAAGTAATATTTTTAAGAGGAAAGCAAATTGAAAGGCTCAATGCAGGAATTTATAAAAAAGGAATCAAATGAATTTTCCTTAAAATGTCCAGACTCCGAATTTAATGAAATTTTGCCGTGTCTCAAATCCGCCAAAAACCGGTTTCAACAGCTTAAATCTTGACACATTGAATACAATTTTAAGTGAAACCAACAAAATTTGAGCCGCTTCTCAAATTTAAGCCTCGGCTTAAATTCTTTAAATTCGGCCGTTGAAATAATTGTTGATGAATAATGTCTAGGGAGTTTGGTAAAGATGTGATATCGGCGGGGGCTCGGTTCAAACAACAATTTAGGTAATTTTAAAACTCTATTTTGTTATTATTGTTATTATTATTATTGTTATTGTTGTTATTGTTATTGTGTGCTATTGCTATTGTTATTGTTGTCGTTGTCGTTGTCGTTGTCGTTGCCGTTGCCGTTGTCGTTGTCGTTGTCGTTGCCGTTGCCGTTGCTATTGCGATTTCTTTTGTTATTACACATGTTAAAATGTGAAAGATCTTTTTCTAGCTTTAACATTTTCAAATTCTTTATTTACGTTATTAACCGCACCTTTATAAAGGCAAAGAACAGATCTTTAAACCCTTAAAATTGAATTCCTAATAAAGCTCATGCCTTTTTCGTGCTTTTCATTGGTGTTAAAACAATAGACATTTGTTATATTTCCCAATATTTGTTATTTTTCTTTTTGCTGAAATTTTTCCCAAAATTTGTTATTTTCTCACAAACTTGTATTTTTATATTTTTCCCTTTTTATGTTTTCTAAAACTTGAATTTTCTGATTTAGATCGAACAAGGTGACGGACAAGCTGCTGAAGATGGGTAGAAATGAGGAGGAGGAGAAGGGGAGGTTGGGCAGGTCCCAGGAGGAGGAGAAGGAGGAGTCCATTACATCCTGCCAACCTTCAACTTCAACAGGAAGCTCCAAGGTAAGATGATTAACATATTCAACATTTATAAATTGTTAAATGATCAAGATTTATAAACTTTTTAGTTAGGATTTATAGAGAGACTTGCATTGAATCGTGATCGTGTCCCTCAGATCATGATCTTGTCACTCAGATCAGGATCTTGTCACTCAGATCATGATCTTGTCACTCAGATCATGATCTTCTCACTCAGATCATGATCTTGTCACTCAGATCATGATCTTGTCACTCTGATCATGATCTTGTCACTCAGATCATGATCTTGTCACTCAGATTATGATGTTGTCACTCAGATCATGATCTTGTCACTCAGATCATGATCGTGTCACTCAGATCATGATCTTGTCACTCAGATCATGATGTTGTCACTCAGATCATGATCTTGTCACTCAGATCATGATCTTGTCACTTAGACCATGATCTTGTCACTCAGATCATGATCTTCTCACTCAGATCATGATCTTGTCACTCAGATCGTAATTAATTCAATTGAAATTAAAGCTACAAAAGTGTCGAATTTAATTCTATGCATTTTTGTAAAAGTTGATATTTCATAATATTTGGTTTATTAATATTTGCTTAACTTTTGTCACGGCTGGTCGCTAGATTTTTGAACATTCCTGGAAAATATGAAAATGTCTTCTTCAATTTAAAAATCCTCGAAATTTGAGGAATGAATATTTTATAATCAACACACGGATTGTGTAAAAACAAAATTTAATTGAGATGTTACAGACACAAGAGAAATGTTTAAAAGATTGAATATTTTGTTCTGAAAAATGTACAAGCTAGAAAAAATATAGGGTTTCTTTATGATCCTATATGTAAATGGAACCCTCTGTATTTATTTATCAATTTTACTTAGGCTCTTGAATCCGCTGAAAATGATGAGGAAGATGATAAATCCGACGAAATGCGGAAGAAGAAGCACAAGAAAAAGAAGAAGAAGGATAAGAAGAGAAGTGCCGGCTCCGACACAGATGATGAATGGGAAGAGAAAACTAAGGACAACTTGGAAAAGTTCAAGAATTCCGAAAAATCAGGGAAAAATCCAAGTAAATCCGCGAGTTATCGACAGAGCCCTGACCGGGACCACTTAGAGAAGGGTCAAGGTGACCGGCCACAGAAGCTCTCCGGTTGGAACCCCGATGCCCCGGTCAGTAAGTGGGATAGTAAACCCGACATGAAAGCAATTGGAAGGTAAAAATATTAAAAATTGCTTTTTTTATTTATTGATTTGATTTGATTTGATTTGATTTGATTTGATTTGATTTTTTTAAATTGCAGAACGGATCTCGATCTATGACTGACCAGTGATCATATTTGATGACAAATTTAACACTGGATATTTTTCCTTAAGTACCATCCCAAATTAAATTTTTAGCCTAATGTCATTTCTATTCTTAACGATTATACATTTTTAGAAAATAATTTGTAATTATCCTTTTTGATTCTCACAACCCAAAAATCAGTATTTTCCCTTTTTAGTAAAAATAAGGGGCCGGGTGGTGGGAAATGTGATATTAGATATATCAATTAGATATTTACATTTAGATAGATTGAAATTTTTATCTGAAACTTGTAAGTTGTTCGCAAATCCCAACATTTTTTATTTAATTAAAAATTAATTGCTGTGGATATTCTTCCCTAATTGTCATCTCAACCAAATACGTCAGCTTCTTTTCATAAAAATTTGATTTTTATTTTGTTCAGGAGGTTCAGAGCTTGAAAGATCTGAGTACTAGCTACAGAGGAAAATATGAGAGGTTAGTTCATTACCAAGAGATTGTTCACAAAATTGAGGAAATTTTCAATTATTTACATCTTTACTGAGCGCTCAAGGAACTCTCCATTATAGAGTGGGATGTCTGATTTATTACCAATCTGAATGCATGAGATAATTAAATGATATCTTCAACATTTTTTTATCAGATAAAGATCTTAAAGGATGCCGCAGTGAATAGGGCATGGTCTTTAAAGTGAAGCCCTGTTGAAATTAATAAAACAGTTTAGAGGAATTTTGTCCATATTTTATTCAATAAACCACCATTTTTCTTTTCAACGGTAAAACCTGTAAAATTACATAAATACGATTTCAGGGATGAACGTTCGGCGAGTTTTGGCCGGAAATCTGGCGCCAGTTTTGGTGGATTTTCCCGCCGAGGATCTTATGATCGCCGGGATTCCAGCGATCATCGAAATCATCATAGAGATAACAAGAGCTCACGTGATTCTAGCAGAGACAGGGATAGGCATAGAAACAAATGGTAAGTTGAACAAGGGTTCTCATACATAGCTCTGAATTGGGGAGTTTAATCACTATATTGTGTAGATACATTGTTGGTTTATTATTATTTTACAGAAGCAAAATAGTATTCCACTTGGAATTCTAAGTACATTTTTCACAAAATTCGAAAATGTGCCCCTCAAATGGGGGTTAAGGACAAAAAATCACTAGTGTTAGCGAAAATGAAAAATTAGACAATATGGGTATCCATTGATCCAGCTTGAAAACCGGAGTTCAAAACAATTTACAGAATTGAAAAATATTGAAAATTGGGCAAGTTATGGTCAAAAAATAGTTTTATCTTTGAATAAATTTCATTATAGTACTCAAAAATTGTCTTTTTTCATTATAGTACTCAAAAATTGTCTTTTTTGACCTTACTCATTCAAATATCAATATTTTTCGATTCTGTAAATTGATTTGAGTTCGGAAATTCAACTCGGTTCCAATAATACCTAATTCAAAAAGTATTTCAAAATTTTCATTTTCACTTTTACTAGTGATTTGAAGGGCAAATTTTTGATTTTTGTGAAAAATATATTTTGTAAACATGTCTTAATATTTCTCGTTGAATACTTTTTTGCTTCTGTAAAATTGTTACAGAAAAATTTCACACCCTTACTGTACAGTGTACAATGATATTAATATTTACGCGGATTTCCTTTAAATCATCATTATACAAGACAGCTTTATATATTCGGATATTAGATAATTTTACAAGATTAAACATACACAAGGCAGCTTTATATATTCGGATATTAGATAATTTTACAAGATTAAACATACGCAAGGCAGCTTTATATATTCGGATAGTAGATAATTTTACAAGATTAAACATACACAAGGCAGTTTTATATATTCGGATAGTAGATAGTTTTACAAGATTAAACATACACAAGGCAGTTTTATATATTCGGATAGTAGATATTTTACAAGATTAAACATACGCAAGGCAGCTTTATATATTCGTATAGTAGATAATTTTACAAGATTAAACATACACAAGGCAGTTTTATATATTCGGATAGTAGATATTTTACAAGATTAAACATACGCAAGGCAGTTTTATATATTCGGATAGTAGATAGTTTTACAAGATTAAACATACACAAGGCAGTTTTATATATTCGGATAGTAGATAATTTTACAAGATTTAAACAAAAAAATTGAGTTTTATATATTCGGATAGTAGATAATTTTACAAGATTTAAACAAAAAATTGAAGATAGTTTTTTGGGAAATGGTTTCTTTTTGGTTATTTAAAAATTTATAATATATATTTCCAGGGACCACAGCTACCATAGAGATAGAGGATCCAAAGCATACTGATCATTCGACCAACATTCTCCAAACAAATCGTCAAGACTGGACGAAATTCGTCATATTTGACGGAAATATTGTAGTCTATAAATAGGCCGTCTAGTCGGCCGACTGTTATATTTTCACTTTTTTCTTTGTTAACAAAATTTTTCCACATAAACCAGATGAGGAAATATTTCGTTTTTTATTTTTGTTTTCCTTGAAAAAAAATTTATCCGTTCTTGTGTATAAAATCCCCCCCCCTGAATATCAAGTAAAAGATATTAATCATATATTGTTTAAATAAAACGAGTGTTTCAAATCAAATCATGAATTTATTTTTTATTTCAGAAAAAAATGTTGGAAAGATAAATTCTATCCTACAACAAATATTTGTTGTTGGGTTTCAGAAATCTTTGTTGTTGAATGGGGCGTATTCAGGGGGGGGGCTATGGGGGTTAAGCCCCCCCCCCTGGACCAGTGAATTCTATTGATTTCAGAGGATTTTCAGGCCACAACGGATACTAAGCCCCCCCCCTGGAAAGAAAAAAATTAAGCCCTTCCCCCTGGACAAATTTCTGAATACGCCCCTGAATGTTGATGCATTTTAAAATACAAATTTACTGAAAACTAATAAGAAAACTGATGTCTAAATACGCATTACAAAAAAAAAACTAAAATATGTGAGCAGAGCTGAAAACTTTAGAATGGTGGATATCGAGATTAATGCGTGATCCTCTCTTTTTCTTAATATCAAGCCTAACTTAATCTTGTACTGGTATCCTGAAAAGTATAAAATTCAAACAATCATCAGAGTCGCGTATACGAAGCCGATAAATTTGAAATTTTGCGCGCCATTTAAGATTATGTACAGATATGGGACAAACTCTAATTTAGAAACCGGTTTTTGATTTTTCTCTATTATATCCAAGAAAGAACGGTTTAAGAAGAAAATCAAAAGTATGTCCATCGGATACTCAGATTACGTAATCGGGATTAAGGATATCTCATTCTAAAGTTTTCAGCTCTGTTCATGCATTGAATACGGTAGCTTTTAACTGATTTTATTCACAAAGAGATAAATATGAATTTCGGCTTGGATTCGGTTTTTACATTTTAACGTTTATAAAACACGACCGGGGTGTATTGTTCGAGTCAATCCTGTCAAGTTTTATAATTAATAAATAATTGATACAAAGCCAAGGATACAGCATAACTTTTGTTTGTTTGGCTAAAATTTTATCAAAAGCTAGCTGAAGCACTAGTTGTAGTTTTAGAAACACTCGAGAAAAAAGTTTTAATTTACAAAAAAAATGATTTTTGAAAAATATGTAAATAAATGAGCAAAGTGCTTTCTTATTCAGATAAACGCAATAATTGATAAATGTTTACAAATAAATCTTTTTTGAAAAGAACGAATAACTACAACGGTTCAATAAATATGTTTAAAAAAGTATTTTTCAGAGTAAAAAAATGAATTAGTTAGAATAAAGGAATGAATTGATAATTCTATGAATACAGTAGATTGAATGAACGTATGTATGAATGAATGAATGAATGAATGAATGAATGAATATTAAGCAAGGATGGATGAATTGGTGAATGAGAAAACTATAGTTCTTCATCCTGGCTCCCTCTATCTAAGGTTTTTATTTCATTTTCTGAAGGGATCAATATTCGATATTTCAAGATCTTATTATTTGGTTTTTAAACATTAGTGTTTCGAAAAGAAGTATTTTTACATTTTCATTGGTATTTCTAGAAATGTGCGTTGACTGAAATAATTTTCATAATTAGTTTTTTCTAAATTTGTTTTTTTTCGAGTTTTTTTTGGTTCTTGGATTGAACAAAATTTTCACCGAAAATAGTTTTTTTTCAAGAATTTTTTTCTCAGAATTTCTTTTACTTTGATTTTTTTCAATATTAGCTTTTATTTGACCGAAAGTTGTATGCTGTGCTTAGGATCCGGATCCGTGAATTCGCATATTTCTGCGGATCCGGATACAAGAAGCTAAAATCTTGCAAATCCAAGGGGCAAAATATCAATCAAAAACTTCAAAAAAAACTGTTGAAAAAAGAGAGATTTAAAAGGTTTTCTGATCCCTGAATGGTTTACCAAGTTTTAGCATAAAAAATAAGCGGAAAAAAAGACGAAAAATAATTTGACCTGGATCCGGATCCTTTTTTTCCATTGCGGATCAAGGATACGGATCCTCATTTAAATGAAATGGATCCTAAGCACTGTTTTTTTTCTAGGATTGGAACTGAATCTCCAATAACGAGTTTACACTGCATTGCCAGAAGGAAAACAATTTACAAAATTTAAAATGTTTTTAAAAACTTCAAAAAAATTTAGGAATTTGGAATTCTTTTCAGAAATTTTGAATTAGTTATAGAAATTTAAAAAATTTTAATTCTTTTAAGTCATTGTTCTGACAGTTTTATTTTTTTTTAAATTTTGAAAACACTAGAAATTTTTTTTTTTAGTCTAGAAAATGTTTCCCCTGGGTTTAGTACCCATTTTCTCAGAGACCCCACACTAAAAAAAGATAAATAGAAGAAAAAGGGTTGTTATTTAGTAATTGTGTAATTTTGTAATTGTGCAATTTTGTAATTGTGCAATTGTGCAATTGTGCAATTGTGCAATTGTGCAATTGTGCAATTGTGCAATTGTGCAATTGTGCAATTGTGCAATTGTGCAATTGTGCAATTGTGCAATTGTGCAATTGTGCAATTGTGCAATTGTGCAATTGTGCAATTGTGCAATTGTGCAATTGTGCCATTGTGCCATTGTGCCATTGTGCCATTGTGCCATTGTGCCATTGTGCCATTGTGCCATTGTGTCATTGTAAAGTGTAACTAAATTATTTTAATAATGGGGAGTACAGTGCATTATATTATTACTTCTTGTTCTTGTTCTTGGTGCAGACGGAAACCTGGTGGTGGAATATATAACGAGATAGAGTCCTTACAGGTCAATATTCAAGCATTCAATTCATTCAATTCATTCATTCATTTATTTATTCATACTTTATTCATTCATTAGTTTGCTGTCAATTCACTCTACAAGGCATTCATTTTTTTACTCTAAATTGAAACTGTCATCGTCATTTCAAGTTACCCTCGATTTATAATTGTTCCCTTTAAATCTTTTTCTGATCAATAATTGGGAAGATATCATCGGTTTTCTTACTTGAAAAGCAGTGCTTAGGATCCCGATCCAAGGGTATCAACCAAAAACTGCAAAAAAAAACACTTTTTTACTAATAAACTTAAATTTGAATTTTTGAAAAAAGAGAGATAATAAAAATTTACTCATTTTTGAATGGTTCATCAAGTTTTAGGATAAAAATTTGCGAAAAAAATAAAACAAAAAATTAGAAAATTATTTTTTGTTAAAAAAAATCAGTAAATCTTAAAGAAATGACCTGGATCCGGATCCATTTTTTTCCAGTGCGGATCCAGGATCCGGTTCCGGATCCGCATCAAAATTAAATGGATCCTAAGCATTGTTGAAAAGTGTAATATTTGAAATATGAAATCCGTCACTAGAGAACTCACAATTGAAAACAATAAATTTTTATGGAGATAAATATGGATAACTCATGAATTCTCCATCCGACATTTATTTTTCGGGTTCTGTTGTGAATCGGGTCTGCAACTTCAAATACCTTCAAATAACAATGCCAGTCCCTTTAAAATATTTAAAGATGAATCGAAATGAATTGAACAAGGCGTTGAGATCTAAAAGAAGTGGATGGGAGGGAGGGAAAACATCAAGCTCAGGATCAGAACAGTCTCAGGTAATATTATAAAAGGGAATGTACATCTTTCAATCAATGTTCAATTAAAAGACTGGGTTGCAAAAAAAAGATAAGGTATACTATTGTTATTATTATTAACAATCAAACTAAGGAGAAAAAAGCATGACATGTAGGGTTATAATGAAATGAAAGCTGGGGTTGCCCTGATCTATATGGGATCTAACGGTAAAGATCTGGTTTGAATTTTTCAGAATTTAGTTTGTATTGCGTATGCGAAATAGGACTTCAGACTTTGAAAGTTTTATCAATCCTTAGTCTAAAACAACCATATTGGACATCTCAGCATACTTGAGTTACAGACAGAACTACTTTACTAGGGTCTAGGTCCTGTGGCAGACCGTCACTAAGTTGTCTTCTGGGTTTACATTTTACACTTGGCTCACAACTTAGTTTACACTTGTGGAAACAATAATAAACATTAACGGACGGGAGCTCAAGCCTAATCACTTCAGATAAAGGGTTGACAGCGATACCTCAAGGGTGACACAGGCTAAAAGTTTAATAAATTTTGTAAATTCCATGGGCAACGCCGGGTACTCCAGCTAGTTATTATTATTGTTGTGTTAAGGATGTTCTGAACATGAATCTGGTGAACAATGTTGAGATTTATGATGAACCTGCCCCACAACCTTCTCATCAGGTTATCCAATACATCTGTTGTATTCATTGAACCACATAGTAGCTTTATAGAGTGAAGTACTTCTATCCACCAGATAAGTTTGTTACAACTGTCTCAAGGACTCGCAACTTCATGGAACCATCTCAATTATTACATCACCCTGACATATTTGAATGTTGGCAGGTTTGCATATTATGTCATTCAACGTAATGACCTCCAACAATGACTGTAATTCAATACCGACGGTCGGAATGGAAGATGTTCTTTGCTAGATTGATACTTCATTCGCAATCTTGACACCCCCATCCTCGGTTCTGTAACTAGTGACTCAATACTCTTTCTAATATTCTTGCGAGGGAGAATATTTTGTGCACATTCTCACAAATTGATCACATTTTTGTCATTTAATTTAAATCAATCAGAAATCACTTTATGACCTTTAAATTATAGTTTTGGAAAAATAAATTTTTCTTTGTTTAGGAATTTTAATTTTTTCAAAGATTGATTGATTAACTTTTGATTGATTGATTGATCGATTGATTGCTTAATTAGGATGTTATTGTTGGTGACGCTACCCTGAAATGTGATCTTTCCCAGTACAATCTACATTTCCCGTACAAGGTACAGTACAGTACAGTATGATACAGTTCTGTTTGGTACAAAATTCATACGAAATTCATACGAAAATCATTCGAAATTCATAGGACATTGTTGCGAAATTCTTACGAAAATCTTACAAAACTTAAAGTATTATAAAATTTTCTTGAAATTCTTTGAAATTCTTTGAAATTTTTGAAATTTCTTGTTAATTCTTGAAAATTCTTGAAAATTCTTTCAAAATTCTTTCAAAATTCTTACAAAATTCTTCGAAATTCTTACAAAATTATTTCAAAATACTCTCAAAGTTCTTACAAAGTTCTTACAAAATCCTTACAAAATTATTAAAAAATTGTATAAAAAAATTCGTAAAAATTCTTACAAAATTCTTCAAAAAAAATTCGTAAAAATTCTTACAAACTTCTTACAAACTTCTTATAAACTTCTTACAAACTTCTTACAAACTTCTTATAAACTTCTTACAAACTTCTTACAAACTTCTTACATATTTGCACAAAATTCTTTTAAAATTCTTTAAATTCTACAAAATCTTTAAACTTTTCCTCAGTATTCCTGAATTGAATTTCAAATTGAACAATAATTATTGTTGCAGGGTGGAGAGTTAAATTTGCATCCTGGCATAGGAGGATCCCTAACTAGTGTACTTTCTGACCTTGCCATCATCTGGAGCAATGCAATCAGGCAGAAAATAAACAAGATTTCAACTTTTCATACTTCCAGCTGAAAAATGACAATTTTTCAAATGTTTGATCAAAAAAGTCCAAATATTTGGTCAAATTGATTTTTTTTTTGCTTAATTCACGATTAATATTTTCTAGCATTTTAACTTCAAGGAATAAAAAGAAGATTGGAAAATAACCTAAACATCATAAAATTGGCATGTTTTGACCATTTGTTTTTTTGCTTGTCAAATGGGATGGTGGAGATGTTCTATTTGATGTAGGGGGCCTGCCTTCATTTTAGGTTCAAATCTTCCAATTTATTTGGCTGCACGCCTAATTGAAGAGCATTTTTCGAAAAATGAAATAAAACTGGACACTTATGACCTCTAATGACCAACAAATTGAAATTTTTTTCTATGGTTTTACGCACATCCATCAGAAGCTAGAAACCCAGGGAAAACAGTAAAATCAAACAATTCAGTGTTTGACCTTTTAATGACCTCTAACGACCTCTAATGATCTCTAATGACCTCCAAATTCAAATTTTCTTAACTATGGCTTTATGCACATCAAACGAAAGCTATGAACCCAGGCACTACAGTAAATGTTTAAAATGTGGCTGAGGTCATTAGAGGTCGTTGGAGGTCATTAAAAGGTCAAACACTGAATGTTTTACTTTTACTGTATTGGCTGGGTTCCTAACTTTCATTTGATGTGCATAAAGCCATAGTTAAAAAAAATTCAATTTGAAAGTCATTAGAGGTTGTTTCTTTCCATTCTTGCAAATTGATTTGATTTCATTGGTTTGATTTCTCAGTCAAGGACTTGGAATTGATACTTCACAGTTCCCTAATTACAAGGAAATCAATCAATCAACCAAATAATAAATATCCGAGTAAAACTAATTTTCTTCTTCTCAGATGTGCAGTGCAATTCATTAAATCAAATTTGTTTCAAACTTAAATAATACTTTTCTAGCTTAATTTAAAAATTGAATTTATTCTTTTCGAATTGGCTCATTTTAAAACTTTTTTATTTTTGATGCTCCATAAACCTTTCTTGGGGTCATGTGAGGCCCCACAGAAAATTTGGGACCAATTGGTTCAGTCGTTTTGATTGGTATTTAATAGACTTTTTCTCGTTGATTGATTGATTGATTAGATAATCCTCCTTATACCCTCCGTGTACAAGAGAAATCACATAAAGCATCTAATGCATCTACTTCTAGGTCAACTCAACTTTCAGGTGAGTCAAGGGTTTAAAAATATGTCAAGAACCTGCCGCAAGTTAGACATTTTGTAATATACAGGGTGTCCCTCATCGTATTGGATCGTTTCAAAACTTTAAATTGCAATCAGAAAATCTGAAAAGACCAAATCATTTAAAAAATGGTAAATTGCTAATATAAATATTTGCATGTAGAAAATACCAAGGGTTTCGAGTATTATGTGCGTATTGTGTGAACCAAGTTCAATAAAGTGTGTATTAAATCAGGAACTGAGTTTAAACCTGGTAGATTATCTCAATAGTATTTATACAAGGGGTTGGAGAACATACAGTAGTCCCGCATACCACCTAGCGGGGGTCACATACACTTTAGTCGACAATATTTTTATCATTCTAAATAAAATATACAATAGTAATAGTATCTTTAGTTTGTACTAGTTGGGCATTTAGGTACCTTCCCACCTACCCAATTTATTTCGGGTATAGTATTTTGGCGCTATAAGCTTGGAGATAATCTAATATGATATCGGACGCTCTGTATATGAAGTCAAACTGTCAATATCTCTTCCCGGAGACTTAGAACCTCTGAGAAGTTATCTCCTTCATCTCCGATTTTTTTATTTAAAGAGTCATATTAAAAAATGGCTATTAATGTCTAAAAAGGACAGAAATAAAAAATTGGAGGCGTCGGAGGTAACTTCTCAAAGTTTTCAAGTCTCCGGGAAGAGATATCGACAATTTAACTTCATATCCTGGTCAAAGGCGAATAAACGAGTCTACATTCAAAATAGAACCGGCTGCTATTAAGGTTTAGAGAGATTTTACAAAATGTTTAACTTGTAACGGGTTCTTTAAAGGGCCTCGTGACGTAATTTCAAGTGACCTTTTTAAAGAGTCATTTGCCCTATATTGTGCGCAAATGAAGTTGGTAAGGGGGGGGGGGAATTCTTAGAATAAATTATAAAACCAGAGCTGGGAACTTTTGAATGGTGGATACCGGGATTAAGGCTTGATCTCCTTGATCTCCTTGTTCTCCTCTTGTTATTAATCTCCAGATTGATACACGGATCGGGATTAAGTTAAGGAAATTATTTTTCAATAAAGTAAAAACCTCTGATATAGATCTAGATGAAAATTTAGAATGTGGGAAGGATTAAACACTCCTTTCTTAAATTTGATTTATATAGGCTGCATTCCCTCTACAGGAGGATGTTGCTGCCACCTTTGGGACCGGGCATGCTGCAGCCTGTGTTGTGGATTTAGGTCAGCGGAATAATGTTTTAAAGAGAACCCGTTCAAGTTTATATGATTTCGTTCTATTTGGTTCAGCTAAATAATTAAACATATCATGAAAGGAAGCTGGAAGGTCTTCATAAAAGTATTTATGCATAAAAGCTAGAACACCTAGTTTATATGTATCATCAAAATTTAGGAGTTCTAATCTGAAAAATATTGGATCTGAGTGTGCCTTAAATGAACTATTATTTACTACTCTAATTGCTCTTATAAATATTTGCATATAGAAAATACCAAGGTTTTCGAGTATTATGTGCATATTGTCTGAACCAAGTTAAATAAAGTGGGTGTTGAATCAGGAACGAGTTTAAACCTGGTAGATTATCTGAATAGTATTATACAAGGGGTTGGAGAACATACAACAGTCCCGCATACCACCTAGCGGGGGGTCACATACACTTTATTCGGCAATATTTTTATCATTCTAAATAAAATATAAAATAGTAAAAGTATCTTTAGTTGTACTAGTTGGGCATTTAGGTACCTTCCCACCTAATCAATTTATTTCGGGTATAGTATTTTGGCGTTATAAGCTTGGAGATAATCTAATATGATATGGGACGCTTTGTATATGAAGTCAAACTGTCAATATCTCTTCCCGGAGACTTACAACCTTTGGAAAGTTCATCTCCGATTTTTTTTATTAAAGGAGCCATAATAAAAAATGGCTATTTGTGTCTAAAAAGGCCAAAAATAAAAAATCGGAAACGTCGGAGGTAACTTTTCAGAGTTTCCAAGTCTCCGGGAAGAGATATCAACAATTTGACCTCGTATCCTGGTCAAAAGCAATTAAACGAGTCTACATCTAAAATAGAATTAAACCTTGTATGAATGTCTATCCACAGAAGAAGAAAAAATACGATATTTTCACTGGTTTGAATATAAAGTTCGTTAAAGAGAAGAGATTCAGTTATTCTGTAGATAGCCTTGAAATAATAAAAATGTGATCAGTTGTCCGTGGAAAATGGGTGTCCGTATCGAAGAGACTACTCTAATCTTCCTGACTATATTCTCACTCAGAACATCAAGGTAATTTAGTTTTTAATTTATTAAACTTGACGAACATTTTAAATTTATTTTTAATGTTTTTAAAGGAGACTAAATGTAACTTAAACATTGAGAGTTCCTGCTTGTCCCATCATAGCTTCACAGTGACTAAGCAATCGTCTCCGCCCCAAGTTGGTGCCCACCAAAATCAGCAGATTTTGGCGGGAAACCAGCACGTGCAAAGTGTACACTCATTCAGTCTAGCAGCCGGGGATGAGTGTGTAATTTCATCAATGAGTCTTTTCCAGGTGATTAAATTAATTTGTTGCTAATTTGATTTCAAATGGCTTCCAAGATATTGTTTAAACTTAAATTTTTCTCGTTTTATTTTCTCTCTCCGCCATTTTGTATTTACACATTTTTCAGGAAGAATTAATGGACTTTGGGGGTAGTAAATATTTGACTGTTATGCAGCAAGATTCAGGCAAATATTTTTACTACTGTGGTTGACGATTGCATCAATACAATGAAGAAGACTTTTTTATTTGAGTTTTGATTGTCAAGAAGCTTTTTTGAACTACAAGTTTACTAGTAATTAAAAAGAAGCTTTTCAACAGCTTAATATAAATCAAACTTGATATCAAATTCGTTCTTCATTGTATTGACATAATCGTGTACCACTTAAACCAGTTAAATTTTTCAAATTACAACATTTATAAAATCACTAGCTAAAGTGCTCTGGAATGCCCGAGGAAGTTTAGAAACACTTTAAAAAAATTATGACATTTGAAAAATAAAATTTCGAATAGTTTTCTAGCCTTTGTTACCCCCAGGGTACCCATGGGTTTTCTCCCAAAAAAATCAGCCAATTCGGTTTAGCCATAGGCCATTTATAGCTAACATTTATACAAATAAATATATATGAGCGAAGAGCTTTATTTATAAATTCATATAACTATTTATAACCAATCATCTAATTATGTAATCAATCAATTAATCAATTGGCTAATTAAATGCTCAATCAATCTAGGAGATCCCGAGGATCCCTCTGATGAAAGTTACCTCACATACACAAGTCGTAGATACAACAAGATTGGAGAAATTCAGGTTAAATCTTGATTAACTAGCGGGAATTTATAGAACTATTTTTGTGCCACTTTCGTTTTAAGGAAAGCATCACCTACTGAATATTGGCGCAAATTTATTATACTACAGCGCCACACAGTAACAAACGGAATTTTATTGAACTAACGTATTATATACTATTGGTGAACACTATGCTAACAAGTGACTAGCGGAAATTAATGGAACTATTTGAAGACAAAGCGCCACCTACCAAATATTAAATTCGTTGTACTAATTTTGTAAAAAAAAAAAATGCGATTTTGTTGCTGCATGATTGCTATTAAATTAATTCTGCAGGTTGGAGAGGAACAAGAGTTTGAAGATATTGATCCTTTAGATCAAGCAAGTGTTGAAACAGGTGAAGAAATCTTTTTTTAATAATTTTTCATATTAAATTAATAACTTAGGTGTCGAACCTGCCATTCCTCTGGATCAAGCAATCCTCCGCAGTATTAATAGTATTCAGTCAGAAGATCTCAGGTGGCTAGATTATTGATGGATCCAGTGATTAATTGATTTATGGATTAATCGACTTGTTGACTAGATTTATTTGTTGATTTGAAACAACTTGATTTATTCAACGATTGATTAATAATTATTATATAAATTGATTGATTGATCAATTTATTGTCTAAAAGATTGATTGATAAATTAACTAATTAACTCATATATATTTAAATGTTTGATTGATGAAATGTTGAAATGATTGATCGATTGGTTGATAAATTGATTGATGGCTCGGTTTCTAAATATAAAAAATTTGATTTGATTGATTTTAGACGGAAGATGCTAGTCAACATTCTTCTTATTGGAGGAATTAATTCATTTAGTTATTCAAGAAAAATTTAAAAATTTATAGTAAAGGAACAAAACAAGAACAGATCAAAGAGCCACTTTTAAATTATAAAGCCTCAGGCAATCCCAGTATAGCATAGTTTTGATTTGCTTATTGTGCATCCTGCAAACAGCGAGATTTCCCAAGGAGAGCTTTAGACTAATAAAAATAAAGACTAACGTCTTCTAACAAAAATGAATTGCTGATTTAAGGTGGATCGAATCTCTCTGGTTTATCTGAATACCTTCAGAACAAACTTAACTCCCAGGTATAAAATAAAATTTAAAAAGCTAAATCCTTTAAGATTCATATTGAAACACATGCCAATAATCTATTTTTAACACCTTAGTTTTTTGGGGTTAGCTAAATTAATAGCAAAAATCATGTTTTACAAATTAATTTGATATATAAAAATTTGGTATTTACAATGATAATAATAATTGAAGCAATGACAGAGAAAAAAATAGGAAGGATGATTATAATTATAAATTTCATATTAATAGTAGTTTAATGATGACAATTTTATTATAATTTCTACTTAAATTTAGTACTAATAGTAATATTAATAATAATAGTAATAATAATAATAATAATTGTATTAATGATAATGATTATGTTAACGATAACGACAACGACAACAATAATGATGATATTAAGGTGGTCGGTGGTGTGGAGATACTAAAAGAAACCAAAGAGGTATTCAAAACATTCATCATTTTCTCTTGATCTTTTAGAAGCTAAAATGGACTGTAAACGTAATTTCAAGTGACCCTTCATTTAAAGAGGGGAACGTATCTGTTTCACAAGCTAATCTACTCGCTCAAAATATTAAAATATCGAACCTCGTCATGATCTGCTAAAGGTTGATTGGAACTTCTCATAAGCCTCAGACTCTCTCTCAACTCAAATCTACTTCGTTTAGATCTTCCTCTCAAGAGTAACAGTGCTCTGGTTATGAGATACACGGTTTAATCTAAAATAGTTCAAAATTATTTATTTTATAACAACAAATGTATTTACAATCAAAGGAGAAATCTAATGTTTATAAAATATTTAAAGATTTATCATATCAATTTGACATATTACTCGAATAACGAGAGAAAATACATATTCGTTAAATACTAGACTAAAAGTTCAGGTATTTTAAAGCTTAAAAAATGTGATAATCTTCAACAAGCTCAAAACTAAGTTTTAATCCATATATTCAAAAGAAATAATGTGCGATAAGTGTGGAGTAGGAAATGTATATATCTTGTATTAGTGTGGAGTAGGAAATGTATATTCCTTGTATTAGTGTGGAGTAGGAAATGTATATATCTTGTATTAGTGTGAAGTAGGAAATATATATATCTTGTATTAGTGTGGAGTAGGAAATGTATATATCTTGTATTAGTGTAGAGTAGGAAATATATATATCTTGTATTAGTATGGAGTAGGAAATGTATATATCTTGTATTAGTGTGGAGTAGGAAATGTATATATCTTGTATTAGTGTGGAGTAGGAAATGTATATAACTTGTATTAGTGTGGAGTAGGAAATGTATATATCTTGTATTAGTGTGGAGTAGGAAATGTATATATCTTGTATTAGTGTGGAGTAGGAAATGTAGCCTGGAAGGGAGGATATATTCTGGCTTCAATGGAAACTGCTCAGGTAATCCAAGGAGTTATTCAGTACACGAGTACACTGTACACTGCACTCATGTACTGTATGTACACTGTACACTGTCCATTGTACTCTATAAGATGACCATCTATTAGTTTATTTAGTTTCTCCACAAAATCATTCTATTTTCTTCCTTAAAAGATCTATTATTTCATACTCTCTTGCCTATTTTAATCAGGGGTGTATATTTTTTCCAAGAAGTTTGGTATGTTTTGTAAGTTTAAGGTTTGTAAAGCTGAATGGGGGAAAGTTAAGAATTTTTAGGGGAAATAATACATTTTTGGTAAAAAGTTTGAGAGAATATGAAAAAACTGGCCTAATCCAATTTTTCAATTTTGTTTCTCCAGATCTTCAAAAAATCATTTCCATGGGGGAGGGAGGGGTAATTCATAAGCATCTAAATCCTCATCTTTTTCTCTCTCATTAAAGCTATAAATGTGTTTGCTTACTTTTTTGGGTCACAATAAAGAAAGTCTGAAACTATTTAAGTATAATAAAAACTGATGTAAATTTTTAAACTAATCTAAACCAAAATAGAGATGAGGATTATACTGTATAAAAGTTACGTTTGATAACAATTAAAATCCGATTGAATTAAAGTCAGCTGTTCACAAGCCGGCTTTTAGAGCATTTAATCAAATATAAATTTAATCATGTTAAAATGAAATTATTGGAGACCTTTTTGCAGCGCTTATGGCGGCACTGCACCCCCTCCCTCATTTAACACTTATCTCTCTATTAGTTTAATTTTCAACAAATGAGAAATCTGGTTTCTTAAAAGTTTTAATCGGGTCACAACCTCTCATTTTTGGAAATTAAAATAATTATTTTTTCTACTTTAGGAGTTATGGATAGGAGGAGAGGAGTGGAGAAGAACTGGTGTTAAGGTGCTAAGGGAGCGGTCTCTTTTCTCCTGGCAGTAGTGTTTACAATTGCTAATTCATCTATTCATGGATAATTTGATTCATTTTGTTTGTTTGATTTTTGGTTAGATATTCTCTTTAAATTTTGATTAATAAAATTAAATTTTGCCAATATGAATTTATCATATTTCCAGCATTTCTTGTTTTTGCAACATTTTCTAAATATCTGGATTTTGCAATGAATATTTGGATATTTTGCTGATTTTTAAAGTATAGCGCAAGGGCTGTCCAGAAATTATCAAATGTTATAGATTTGTACAACCCCCCCACCCCACCCCCTCGACTATTTTGGGGAAAGGAAACGTCTGCCTGAATAGGGTTTACTGAAAACATGATCCGTCCCTTTAACTGTTCCCTTTAGACATGACCCGTCCCTTTAACAGTTCCCTTTAGACATGACCCGTCCCTTTAACNATGATATGACCCATCCCTTTAACTGTTGTTCCCTTTAGACATGACCTGTCCCTTTAACTGTTCCCAGACATGACCCGTCCCTTTATCTGTTCCCTTAAGACATGACCTGTCCCTTTAGTTGTTGTTTTATTTAGATATGACCCATCCCTTTAACTGTTGTTCCCTTTAGACATGACCTTTTCCTTTAACTGTTCCCTTTAGACATGACCTGTCCCTTTAACAGTTCCCTTTAGACATGACCCGTCCCTTTAACTGTTACCTTTTAACAGAACCTTTTCCTTTAACTGTTCCCTATAGACATGACCTGTCCTTCTAATTGTTCCCTTTAGACATGGCCTGTCCCTTTAGCTGTTGTTTTATTTAGACATGACCCGTCCCTGTAACTGTAAGCTTTTGACAGAACCCGTTCNTAATATTATCAATTATATCTACTAAAAATAAAAATAAAAATTATAAAATAATAATTGGAGAAAATCTAATTTACAATTAGGTTTCCCTGGGATATCTTCGTTTTCAGATTGGTTGCAAATTTGCTTAATTTGATCCGTTTAAACCTGCTATTTCTATACAAAATTGTATATATATATGAATTTTCGTATAAATTTGACAAAGTCCCTTTAAGATATTTTTATGTGGTAAATGGATATGTTTTTTATTGTAATTTTTTGTTTTTTATAGAACTTGATTTTTTTAAGATTTGAGAAATCAAAATACCTTCTAAATATTTTAGGCTGGATTTATTTTTTACAATTATATTATTTTTTTTGAAAATAAAAAAATTCTGAAAATAAAATTGTTTGTTTTTAGGAAGACGAGAGGCAAAGAGACAAACAGTTTGAAACAATGAAGGATGATGATATTGAAGGTAGAACCACTCCAACCAAACTCATTGGGGAAAATAAATGATTTGAAGGCAAAATAAATCATTTGAAGGGAAAATAAATGATTTGAAGGGGAAAATAAATGATTTGAAGGGAAAATAAATGATTTGAAGGGAAAATTAATGATTTGAAAGAAAAATAAATGATTTGAAGGGCAAATAAATTATTTGAAGGGCAAATAAATGATTTGAAGGGAAAATAAATTATTTAAAGGGAAAATAAATTATTTGAAGGGAAAATAAATGATTTGAATGGAAAATAAATGATTTGAAGGGAAAATTAATGATTTGAAGGGAAAATTAATGATTTGAAGGGAAAATAAACGATTTGAAGGGAAAATAAATGAATTTTGGAGTTAAAAGTATCAAAAAGTATGAACAATGCTTTCCTTAAGTTGTCTATTTTATTTTTTTATTTTTTCAAATCATCAAAATTCATTTACCCTCTCTTCCCCAGGGGGGCAAGGGGTAATTCTGAAAAATATATACCCCTGTATTAAATATCTAGAAAATCCACGAAATTTATCGATTAAAGGGAAAGCACACGTCATTTTAAGAATGGTATTTCCGATTCACATTAGTACTTTTTTCACCTGTATCTTAGTAACAATGAGAAAGATGTCAGTTTTTTATCTAGAAAAAGTGTTTGAATTCTGATAATTTAAGGGTTGCTTGAAAAATGCGACCCCTNAAGGCGAGCTTTGTTTTATTTGTTCCTAGGTCAGGAGGACAATACGTTAAACTTTGATGGAGATATTCAGATTACACCCTTCAATCTCAAGGAGGAACAGCAGGAGGGGACATTCAGGTATCTATCTATCTATCTAGCTATATTTATTTATCGATCTATCCTTCTATCTATCTATCTGTCTGTCTGTCTGTCTATCCATCTATACATCTATCTATCTATTTGTCTATCTGTCTATCTTTCTGTCTGTCTGTCTATCTGTCTATCTATCAGTCTATCTGTATATCTGTCTGTCTGTCTCTCTGTCTATATATATATCTATCTATCTATCTATCTGCAGTAAGGATATGTGTAATATATATTCTGTAGTAATGCTCACTATTTTTTCTTTGTTAATAATGCTATCTATTTTCTCTATGATTAGTAATATTTCTTAACTATTTGTATGTTGATCCTGTCGGGCTAGCCCGGTCAGTTCATTCACCTGTATATAAAATAAATTAGTTGAGTACAACTTGTTGGTTTACACAGACGTATACAGAGCCTAGAGTTTTGGCTAGAGGAGTCGGTTAGATTCTAATAAGACTTTGAGTTGAGTTATCGTTAAATATCTCGGGTCTAGATTTCGTTACATATGTATGGAATGAGAAGAAGGATGATGTGAAGGATTTATCTATCTATCTATCTATCTTCCTATCCATCTATCTATCTATCTATCTATCTGTCTGTCTAACTATCTTCCTATCCATCTATCTATCTATTTATCTATCTATCTATCTGTCTGTCTGTCTATCTATCTATCTTCCTATCTATATCTATCTATCTATCTTTCTGTCTATCTATCTTCCTATCCATCTATCTATCTATCTATCTATCTATCTATCTATCTATCCATCCATCCATCTATCTATCTATCTGTCTATCTGTAGTAAGGATGGTAACTTTGTATGGAATGAGAAGAAGGATGATGTGAAGGATGCCTGGCTGGATGACGTGGACTGGGTTAAGGTAATTTAATAATCATTGATTTATTCATTCATTCATTGATTCATCCCTTTATTGATTAATTGATGGATTGAGTGACTTATCTATGTATCGATAAATCAATTGATCATTTACTTCATCAATCCATCTATTAATCAATGAATAATTTGTTTAATCGATAAAAGCGTAAATAGATTTAATAACAAATTGTAAATTTATAAATTAATTTATTGATGAATTGATGAAAAAAAAACATTATCAAATAGTAATCGTATCTTATTTCCAACTAGCTTGGGAACCCAGCGTTGCCCAGGGTTCTCATAGTTACTCCCGCCGTTTACCCGCACTTGAACGATCTTACCGGAAAACTAAATTGTCGCTATTAAAGTCGACCCACTCAACTTAGAAATTATAACCAAGCTAAGAACATTACCGGGGTTTTCCCGGTTCCCCAATCAAAATTTGAGGCAAATCAGTCCAGGGGTTCCTAAGTTATGCTTGTAGAAACAAACAAATATGCAGACAGACAGACAAAAAAGAGATTACAACTTATATATATATTGATTTTGTTTTACTAAAGTTTCAGGAGAAGAAAACATTTCCATTTAGTGTATATCGCCGCCATAAGGATTTATCTCAATTGGATAATGAGATAAATAGAAAGATAGATGTTACCGCCAAACATCTTCTATTGAATAGACACCAAACACATGACTTAGCCCTGATTTGATCAGGTGCTAATGGACTCGGTATACAGGAGTGTATTGTCACTTCATAAGGGGTACTATATATATCTCCCCCACCCCCTCCTCCTTTAAAAATGAAAACTATGATGTTTTCCTCTTGTTTAAACTTGGTACCACAAAAATAATTTATTTTCTCAAATTGCTTTGAGTAATCATTCCTAATATTTTGGAGGAATGGGTCAGACAATAGAGATTTATCTAAGTCTATATATCACCCCACCACTTCCACCCACTTCCTAACTTGGCTATCTACAACCATATCCCATTGGCGTCTGATCATACTGATCATGCTACTTGTGCATTTTAACTAATATTCCCCCGTAGAGGTCTCTGAGTCGTCTGTAGAAAGCTGAGAGAAAACAGGATTCTGCTTGCTTTCTTTTACAGGGCTTCAACTGATACAATTCAAACTACATGTATACTAGCGCCTCTAGTGTGAGAAATGTTTTTAAAATCTACATATACAGGGTGTTCCACGAAATATGACAGTTGCTGAATATTTTAAAATGTCTTCTTCCATAATTTCTTGAGTTGTTTGATACCAAAGAAAATAATAATAAACACTATATGGCAGTTTTATTATAGAAAAATCGATGCCAGATTAAGATTTATTGTAGTAAAAGATTTTCTACCGAACTAAACTGCAAAATGTCTTAACTAATCCAGTATTTGAAAGACGACATTTTAAATTATTTATCAAATGTCATGTTTCGTGGGACATCCTGTACCTAATTCCGCTTGTACTCAAGTATACCCATACTCTGTTGTTTACAACTCTGTTGTAGTTGTATTCTGACAAGATTACAATATTATTCTGCAGGTAAAACAAATATTCCCCCGTAGAGGTCTCTGAGTCTGTAGAAAGCTGAGAGAAAACAGGATTCTGCTTGCTTTCTTTTACAGGGTTTCAACTGATACAATAAAAAATAACATGTATACTAGCGCCTCTAGTGTGAGAAATGTTTTTAAAATCTAAATCTACAGGGTGTTCCACGAAATATGACAGTTGCTGAATAAATTAGTAAAATCGATCCTAGATTAAGATTTATTGTAGTAAAATATTTTCTACCGAACTAAACTGCAAAATGTCTTTAAAACTATCCAGTATTTGAAAGACGACATTCTAAATTATTCATCAACTGTCATGATTCGTGGGACATCCTGTACCTAATTTCGCTTGTACTCAAGTATACCCATACTCTGTTGTTTACAACTCTGTTGTAGTTGTATTCTGACAAGATTACAATATTATTCTGCAGGTTTTTTTAGTTTTCTTATTAAAGGGATTTCTGGTTTAATTTCAATGAACCCTCTAATTGGTAGATTAGAATGTCTGATTCACAATGGTGTCCATTAAACCTTTGCCCGGTCAAGGACTAATGAGATATTCTTCTTTTTTAAACGGAAAATTGATTATTTTGGTTTTAACTGTGGTTTCTCTAATTGAAACGACAACATCCCTATTGTTACTCAAATTAAGGTGTAACAGGTTACTCTGAATGATGATAGACAAATAGGGATTGCGGGATTTCAAGATTTTAACCACACGGTTAAAGTTCAGGTTTAAATTAAGTCAGACGTGGCATTTAACCATGAACTTAAAATTTAAGTCAAAACTTTTCGTTCTTTAGTTTTAGACTGAGGAGAGTATTTGTTCATTGTTAATTGTTTACTTAAAAATAAGTTAAGTATACATGTAATATATTATTTATATATTTAAGTCAACACTATAAGCCTAAATTTCATGCAAAGAATATAATTTGATTAAAGTTTACAATAAACTACTCTTTATTCAAGCTTATTTATAATTGACAACATTGTTCTGCAATTTCCTTGACTGTAGTCATGTTGTGCGTCTGTATCAAAAGAGTGTGTGTGTGTGTGTAATAACGAATTCGTCTGCAGCGCGACTGGCTTTCTCATGCCAGACCAGCCCATTTCCTTTCACTTTATTCTTTTTCTCTTGTAATGACCCAAACATGCCTTTTTCAAATGTAGGTGAAATTACTTCTGCCGTCCTTTTAATAATATTTTGCTTATTAAAAATATTATTTTAGGAGACTCCTGAAAATGGCTCTAATTCAAATAAAAATGGCAGACAGGAAAACGCGGGAACTGAGGAGAAGGTGACAGTGGCTGTGAACGTAGAAGAACCGGTTATGTGGGAATTTAAATGGAAAAATGAAGACGGTAAGTTGCATCAGAGTGGAAAAGATATTTTAATAAGTTTTTTCTTTTTTTCTTTTTTAAATGGTTTTGTTTAGGGGAGGATGTCCACGGTCCGTATTCTAGCGAGAAGATGTTGGAATGGCAGGAATCTGAATTCTTTGCTGCTGGTGTCTGGTGCAGGTACAGTTAATGTACAGTGCAGCTCATGTACTGTACTGAAACTAATTAGATCTTTACATTATGTTTTCCGGGCATTTTCTTCTAATAACAGATAAGAAAAATTATTGTTAAAGTTTTTCCCCATTCCCCACTAACCTTACCCTGGCCTGGAATTATAGCCATTTTTACCATTTTTGTTATTGTTTTAATTTATTTGTTATTGTTGACAATATTTGTTATTGTTTACAAACTTATTTGTTACGATATTGTTATTTTTTTACAATAATTGCCGTTCTTTACAATATTTGTTATTGTTTACAATATTTGTTATTGTTTACAATAGTTGTTATTGTTTACAATATTTGTAATTGTTTACAATATTTGTCATTGTTTACAATATTAGTCATTTAATATTGTTTACAATATTTTATATTGTTTACAATATTTTATATTGTTTACAATATTTTATATTGTTTACAATATTTTATATTGTTTACAATATTTTATATTGTTTACAATATTTGTCATTGTTTACAATATTTGTTATTGTTTACAATATTTTTTATTGTTTACAATATTTGTCATTGTTTACAATATTTGTTATTGTTTACAATATTTGTTATTGTTTACAATATTTGTCATTGTTTACAATATTTTTCATTGTGTTTTCAATATTAGTCATTTAATATTGTTTACAATATTTTATATTGTTTACAATATTTTATTATTGTTTACAATATTTGTTATTGTTTACAATATTTGTTATTGTTTACAATATTTGTTATTGTTTACAATATTGGTCATTGTTTACAATATTTGTCATTGTTTACAATATTTGTTATTGTTTACAATATTTGTTATTGTTTACAATATTTGTTATTGTTTACAATATTTGTTTTTGTTTACAATATTTGTTATTGTTTACAATATTTGTTATTGTTTACAATATTTATTATTGTTTACAATATTTATTATTGTTTACAATATTTTTTATTGTTTACAATATTTGTCATTGTTTACAATATTGGCCATTGTTTACAATATTTGTTATTGTTTACAATATTTGAATTTGTTTACAATGTTTGTTTTTTTATAATATTTTTTATTGTTCACAATATTTTTTATTGTTTACGATATTTTTTATTGTTTACAATATCTGTTATTTTTTACTATATTATTTATTGTTTACAATATTTGTTATTGATTACAATATTTGTTATTGATTAGTTTATTTGTTATTATTTACAATATTTGTTATTGTTTAGAAAAAAAATAGTTCCTGAGTTGTCCTAATACGTCATCCATGTTCAGGAAAGTCGGGAGTGCTGGGGAATTCTTGACGTCTAAAAGAATAGAGTTCGACCTCTATGTGTAAACAATCAGAAACCAGTTCTATGCAGTACAAAAACAAGAATCAAACAAACCAGTACACTGCAGTACAGCAACTACAGCATCAAGTTCATTCCATCCTCAATTAACAACTGCAAACATAAAATGATTTTGAGAATTTCTTAATTGTTCCTTTTGATCAAAATAAATAAAGTTTTTTTCATAGTTTATATACAGATATATTATATATATTTTGTAGAAAATACCTACTTCATAACAATTTAACCGAAACGTATCTATCCAGGTATATCAGTGAACACAATCAAACAGGATCGGCTCTAAATTTTAGCAGAAAAAAACGAAAGTTGCCAATTTTTAAAAACCCATCCATTTCATTTTTGTTTTTAACCGTTAATTTTGTTTAAAAAGACTAATCCGTTCCATTAACAATCTAAATATTAGAGCTGGCTAGCAGGGTCAGGGAGCAGGGGGGGTTAAAAACACATGTTTAAAAACTTTGGATTGCAAAACATGTGTCACATCATTTGTCAAATCAAAAAAAAATTTTACAATCTTAGAGTTAAAAGTAAATATAAATAGTTTTCTAAAATTTACTTTTTGGAAAACTTAACATTTTCAATATACTTGAATTTTTACAGGCATTGCTATTTTCCCTGTCATTAAAATAATTTTTGTCTATTCATTCATTTATGGTTTCTTTTCTAGTCTTTAATCTCTATTGTGAGATTCTACTATTTGTACAATATAAAACAACTAGGTTTAGAGCACTTCTCGCCCATCTTCTGTTTCATTTGTGAGCATGTTCTCTTTGTGTACAATTACATTGTAAAACCAAACTAAAATATCACGGATTTCATAAAAAAATTGGTGGATTTTAAAAACTTATAAAAGTTTAATGAAAATCAAATTTTGTTGGAGGGAAATTTTTGAAAATTCGATCATCCATAAACCTTCCCTGGGGTCATGCGAAGTCCCGATCGGTTCAGCTGTTTTGATGATTATTGGATACAAACAGACAACCAAACAAACGGACAGACAAGCAAAGTATATATATATAGATAACTAACAAAAGTTTGTCGAATTATTTTGTTTATTATTAAATGTTTTTGATTTTTGTAAAATTTTAAAATCGCGCGAAAAAATTGATAATTTGACGAACTTTTGTTATATATATATATATATATATTGATAATCTCAATGTAAGTAGTGATAGCTTGTTATCACTTTTTTTGAAAAACTCTCGTTTGTTATGGACGTAGAAAAATATCGTTTTTTCATTTTATATCTTCGTTATATTAACATTTTTTTATTAACATATTTTTTTTTGACCATTAACCATTGCTAAGAACAACTCTTCGTTAACGACCGTCATTTTCCCTAATAAAACAAAAATGTAAAAAAAATTAAAAAAACTCATGTTTATTAGAAAAATTAAAAAACCTATAGTTTTTTTTTAGTAAATGATCATATCGTTGTTTCGTTTTTAAAAGTTCAAAACAAATGGTTTGTTCGTTTTTAAAAACGATTAACAACGATGAACGACTACATTGAAGAGAACAAAGAAATGTTTTCAAAATACCTATCTAAATAAGATAATAAGTCTAAATATCTATCTAAATAAGATAATAAGTCTAAATATCTATCTAAATAAGATAATAAGTCTAAATATCTATCTAAATAAGATAATAAGTCTAAATATCTATCTAAATAACATAATAAGTCTAAATATCTATCTAAATAAGATAATAAGTCTAAATCAGTTTTTTTAGTTTTGATCTTAACATTTACTAAGGTTTAGAGTTCTCAAGTTTACATGTGGTACGCCCCTTCAAAATTCCTAGCTACGGGCCTGCTATCTATCTATCAATTTATCTTCCTAATTGTACATATTTATCTATTATCTATCTATCTATCTATCTCCTTGAAAGATAAGAGTAATTTTAATCTGTTCTATACTATCCTTCTACCTCAAACCTTATATTATAGATAAAATAAAATCATTTAAACATAAAGGTAAGGGTTTGTTTAAGAATTTTAAAAATTTGAATAAAAGAAAATGATTTTTTAATTGGTTTTTTATTTAGAATTTAAATTCGTCTAGGTGCAGGGGTTTAAACTTTGAAAATTTTGAAATTTTTGATTACTTTTACTTAAAAATTAAAATTAAAAAAACTAAATAATTGAAATGTGATTTATATCAGAGTAATTTTTCTTTGTTACAATCAAATCGATTAATTTTACTTTTAAAAACATTGACAATACTTCTTTGAGTATAACTTCAATTATATTTCTACAGAGGATAGTTTCACACCTTACAGTGATAACCAGAAAACTCTGAAATAGGAAGACGACTTTAAAGCAATACTTTAGGTATTTGATGTTGTTACAAAGCAAATAGTTTTACTACACTTGTTAATGTGAATGGGGGAGAGAGAATATTCACACATTATGTTCAATTTCTTCTGTATTGTACAGCTTGTACAACAGTCCTGAAACCAGAAAATAAACACCCTAGAGAAAAAATTTAACTTTTATGAGACAGAGCAGAATATCGACAGGACTGGTAATAATGATTTACAAGATCTAATGCACACTTAGAAGAAATCCAATAATTGTATTCAACTTATTGAAAAAGAAAATCTGATCAAGGTTCAAGAGAATTTGAAAATGTAAGCAATGTTAAAAAGTGAAAATATATGTTTTATCGGCTTAGGATTATTTAGCGTATAAATAATATGTATTCTTTGAAGTTCATTCTTTAAAAAAAAGTATAAAAATAAGTTTTTCATTCTTTCATTTTAACACTGTGTGTACTTTATTACTCTTTATCCAAAGGAATTGAGTTTTTGCCACAAACTCAAATTTTCTAATCCATATATCTTTGCAACCAGAGCTGAAAACTTTAGAATGGATAAACTTTAATCCTGACTTCTTGATCCGAACATCCACTGTGGAAACTTTTCATTTTAGTCCTTGATCCACTATTTTTCTCTCTCCTTGGATATCCGTTAATTGTTTTCTCCAATGAGAATATTTCTGTTCTCTCATTGGTTGCCCGCTTTTCTCTGATTGGCTGCTACAGTTTCTCAGATGATTAAATATTAATTTGAATTTTATTGTTTATCATACACTTTTAAGATAATCTTGCAAGACTATGTTAATCTGGAGATTAAGAAAAAGAGTGGATTAAGCCTTAATCCCGATATCCACCATTCAAAAGTTCCCAGCTCAGATGGTGTAAACGGATGATATTTCAAACTATTCAATCTAACATATCAAAGGTCTACTATATCGGGTTGCTAAGATAAAGAGGGGAAACAGTTAGAGTTTGTGGCATAAACTCATTTCCTTTCCTTCCAATTCCAAATATTAACCATCTACTTTCCAATATTGATTAAACACCCTTTTAGAAAGTAGTGATAAAAAGTTAAAGATTCTAAAGTTAAAACAATTTGTTTTAATATAATTACTGTCAACTCTGGAAAGAATTTTTGCAAATTTTAAATGTTTTACTCTTAAGCTTTTAACAGTACCCTGTGTACTGTGCATATACATATATAAATTGAAATCAAGGTTTAAACTACTTTGTGTATTTTTCATCCTTGAGTGTACACATATAGGCTTTGATTGTGTTTTTAAACTATTGAAATCTAATCTAACAGTCACCATATTCATTTATATATCTTGGTAGATTTAGAACCCATTTATGATTTTGATTTTGAAACCATCTACTAAGGAGCTATAAATACTTGCCACAAACTCTTATTCTCAAGTCCCCATTTCTTTGCAACCTGATGGTGTAAACCTTTGATATTTCAAACATAGTCATAAGGTTTCAAAAATATAGGAATTAGAATATTAGAACTTATTATTAACAATTTTGTAACTTGGAATTCTGAAAATTTATTTAATCTTTCATTATTTTAGTCAAGTGTAAGTTTTTATTACTGTCCTTATACATTCCTTATAAAACCCAAAATCAGTTTTTAATAAAAAAATTTCATAAAGTGACACTTTTTTCAAATATTCTTATGTTATAAATTTCATTCTTCATTCAACACCAGTATCAAGTAGATAGTTTTTTGATCAATTTTTCATCAAATATTTATATTTTTTATGTTTCAAAGTGTGATATTTAAAACTTGAAACTTCTGTACTCTACTCCTTTTCATTTTATTCAGAACAATTAACAAGAACTTGCTGCATTAAATCCAATTTATTTTTAGAAAAGACAATATTTTAAATCAAATTATTAATTCAAGTTACAATAGAATGAACATACATCTCTGTTTCAATTACAAGGAATTGATACAGAGGCATGTCCAAAATGTCTATATTGCAGAGGTTCCTCCCTCCAATCTTCGCCCTCTAGAATCAAAAGGTTGTCATTACCTCGCCACCCTCCAAATACTACCAGGTTGTTGTCCAGCACCTCAATTGTTAGGAAGTATCCTCTCTTGGTCAGCGTAGGTCCACTCCTCCAGGTGTCTGTAAAAGGATTAAATATTTCTACAACATCTACATCTTCAGCATTGTATCCTCCAGCTGTCCATATTTCTCCCTTAAACATGCTGCATGCTAGTCCAAACCTAAACAAACAAATATTAAACACAATATTTACTAAATATAATTTTAGAAAGTTTAGTTATAATTTAATGTTATTTTATAAGATATGATTTTTTCATAAATGCAATTCATCACAAAGGAACTGAGTTTTAGCCACAAACCCAAATTTTCTAATCTCAATTTCTTTGCAACCTGATGGTTTAAACATTTTAACATCAAAAT